GGTTCAGGCTATCTGACCCCAAACAGGATATTTCTGATGTGTGAGACAGGAGTGACAGAAAACAAAGGGAAGTCACAGTACTTGGTCTCAGGCCCCTAACCTGGTTGGGTGTGAAGGTAACAGAGGAAGGCGAAAACAGTCTTGCTGAATCTGGATGTGGCAATTCCTCCTTGGCCAGGGAAAGATAAAACACATCAGAAACATGGTGGCTCTGCCACTTGTGGCTAAGTGATGATGGAAAGTGAGCTGATTTCTCTTTAAATTATTTTACTACATTTATTTATTTGTGTGTATGTGGTGTGTGGTATATGGATGTGGGGTATGGGGTGCGGGGTGGGTGTGTGTGTATGCACAGGCACACATGTGGTAGTCAAAAAACTTGTGGAAGTCAGTTCTTTCCTTCCATCATGTGGGTCCCAGGGATTGAACTCAAGTTGTCAGGCTTGGTGGCATTTTGATGACAAATGCTTTTACCCACTGAGCCATCTGGCCTACCCAGAATTGGCTTCTCTCTAAACAGGGGATTGATGCCCCCAGTGAGCCTAGAGGGAAGGAACGAGGAGTGGCTAACACAAGTCCAGGCACATACATACTAGGGGCTCAGTAAAATGTGTCTATAGATATAGAGACTGATCAACAAGTCTTAACAGAGGATATGCCATGTGTGGAGCCCTATCACAGAAATGTGAGTGAAGAGGACAAGGGCCTCGTCTCAAAGAGAGCCCCAAAGGTCAGCCAAAGAGGTGGGCCTGTCTCCCCCACTCACACACACAATGTGGGGCTTGGAGGCATAGTCTGGGGAAGAATCTGGCCTCTTCTTCCTTTACCCCCTAGTCTGCTGTTTTCTGCCATAAGCCAAGTGGGTTTTCTAACCTAGGACACCTACTGGAGAGCTGCCTGCCCCTTGTGGGCTCTATACCTTCTCCTAACATCTTCCATGGGCTCCTCAGGCCTCAGTGAGGCTGGTGGTTCAACAGAGAGGCTCTTCATACCTGAATCCAGAAAGCAGGTTCTAGCCCAGTTGAAAACAATTTGGGGACCTTCTTAAGGGCAGTCCCCCTACAGCTCTTAAACAGAGTTTGATTGATCAAATTCCCCCTCTATCACCTTGTTGGTCCTGCTCACAGACTCCCCCAAGCTCTACTCCTGGCCCCCATGCCACTATACAATGCCCTGTTGTCCCAAGACACCATCTAGGCCAGCTTCTCTAGCTAACTGTCTTTGGCCACTGGCTGCTCACTACCTTTCAAATCCACAGGCTAACCTGAACTCTAGGTGAGCCAGACCCGCCTGGACACATCCCCAGCCTGTGTCCAGAATGCAAGATGCATGGCTCCTGCATGGGATCTTCTGCCATGACTTGCCTGATCCAAAGGTCCCCTTGATTCCCTGAGTTCCTCAGCTTTCTCAATCAAGGTTACTAGTTAGACATTTTGAGCCCCCAGCCATGAGCCTGTAGCCAAGTAGGCCAAAACAAAGCAGATGGACTGATACTCCGAATACATCCCAAACCCCTCACGGGCAGCAGAAATGCTTACCACAGCCCAGTATCTCTGGAGCCCCAATAGAAATAATTGAAAAAAAAATAATAAAAAGAGCCCCAATAGAAATAATGCATGCCCTCCTCCCTCCCTAGAGCTTTCTTTGTTAAGAAATTCCAGGAGAGGCAAAGGGCTGATAGAGCTGTCCCCAGGGGCTGCTTGGGGTGCTTGGAGTATCTGCACTCCTGAGGTTCTGCTAAGTTTCTGCTGCTAGGGTAAGCCTAGGGGGATCAGCAGGTGACCTCAGACACCATTCCCAAAGGCAAGGAAATAAAAACAAGTTGGTGTCACGTGACATAGGGCCTCCTGTTAAGATTACCAGTGAGTGTTGGCTGCTGACAGCTCACAGTTGTTCCCCTCTCCAGATGCTCTTGGTTGTTGGGGTCATCTTGCCTACACTCCATACTCTGTGGGACAACGTGGGTTCAATCTGCCCTCCTCACTTCCCGCTCCACCCAGGATCAGATTTAGATTTGTTTATATATGTATGTATGTATTTATTTAGACAGTCTTGCTATATTGCTCAGACTGATCTTTAACTCCTGAACTCAACTAACCTGGCCACTTTGGCCTCTCAAGAGCTGAGATTGTAGGGGTATGCGAATGCCCAGCCCCAGTCTGAGTCTAGGCTTAGCTCACCCACCTCTTTGCAGCAGAATCTTTGTCTCAGGCTTTGCTTAGACAGGCCTCACTTATCTCTGCCCTCCTCAGATGCCCCCTGCTCTGAGGATCCCTGAAAACCAGGGTGTGGGATGGAGCCAGAAGCCTCAGGCCCACCAGGATCCTCCCAGCCCCTGAATATATATGTGTGTGTGTGTGTGTGTGTGTGTGTGTATATATATATATATATTTAAGAGCTGTCTTCACTGGACAGTGACTATGAGTCAGGCAGTAGTATGAAAAGTGCTTCACATGAATTCTTTGAAATCCTCACTACAATCCTATAAGAGGAAACTGAACTTGAGACAGGCCTCAGTCAAGCAGCAGCGGAGGGGTTCTCATCCTCTAGGGGTAGCTGACGGGGAAGAGGGCCCTGGCCCAGGAGTCAGGACTAGGAGTTCTGGTGCTTGTTTGGTGTGGTGGCTCATGCCTGTAGTCCCTGCACTCAGGATGATGAAACAGGAGGATTGCTTTGATTTCAAGGCAAATCTGTCAGCAACCCTTGGCCTCAATTTCCTAGTCAATATAATGAGGAGAATCACTTCAGACCACATCAACTTATACTTGTGACTATGTGGTATAAAATGCTAGGGATGTGTGGGGAACTGGTAATACTAAGAACTAATGTTTACTTGGCCCTCAGTTCTGAGCCGCTGGGCTCCATCATTTCATTTAATCCTATATGACAGCCCCATGGAGTAGGTACTATTATCATCCCCATTTTCCAGATGCAGAAACTGAGACAGAGTTACTACAACCTAGTAACTGACAGACCTGGGACTTCCAAGGGTGAATGTTAGCAGTATGGCTCCAAGACACAGGTGTGTCATTCTGAGTGCCAGCAGTACCCAAGCCATGCCCTAGTTCCTGCTCCAACCTCACCCTCCTCAAAGGGTGTCCTCTATGTCCCCTTCCTTAAGAGGCCTCAGCTCAGAATAAATTCTCTGTTCCCTGAGCTCCTTGTTCAATTGCACTTGGAATTACATAGTGACACAGCAGAGGACCTGCCTTACGTCATTCTGAGAATGGAGATGATCTTGTCTCTCACCATCTCAAGGTTCCTTAGATGAAAAATCTTCCTTTGACTGGCTGTCACCCCAGCTCCACAGCCTGGCACAGGCAGAGCCCCTCCTAAGCACAGCTGATTAGATGACAAACTCTTTCCTACAGTGCTGGCCAGGGGTAGATTGGAAGAGGGAAGCTCACTCTTCCTAAGCAAACAGGCAGCTTCAGGCCCCAGGGCCAAAGGCACTACCTATATGACAGGGTACCACACAGATGGCCTCATGTTCTTCTGGGGCACTTCTGCACACAGCATCCCAGCTAGATGCCCAAGCATGTGGGTGGAGCATCCAGATTGCAGGAAGGAATCCAAGGTTACTGAAGACCCACATGCTGGATACTCCAAATGCCCAGAACTCAGAGGCCAAGAGTAGAGAAGTACTCTATCTCCATGGAAGGAAGCAGGGGTGAGACACCCACCCTCACTGACCAGTCTTGTCCAAACTGAGGGATTTGGCTATTTCTGGGAACTGGTTAATTCTCTCCCAGACTAAGGCTCTGAAGACATGTAGCCTTTGCTGCCTTTGAGGATGGAGGAGAGGGGCTGCTCTCTACAGGAGGTGCCTCCACCTGTTTTCAACCAACAAGTAGGTACTGACTATGGGCCAGCAGTGTCTAATTGACCACTGTCATCCTTGAGGCTAGACTGTAGAAGTCCAGGGTCAGCAATAACCCAGGGCAAAGACTACTATGAAGGGAAAGGAACTCCCTTGGGAACCAGCTGAACCCAACTGGCTTAGGGACCCAGAGAACAGTGGGCAGCATCCCTCACATGCTTCAGGGCAGAGTCCTGAGTTCAGGCAGGAGACCCGAGTGCAGGACTTAGCTCTGCCACTTTCATGGGCAGTTTTTTAAGCTCTTTGAACCTCCATATCTTCATCCATCATGGGACATGATAATACAGGCCTCAGTAGGAAGATCTATACAGAATAATGAAAGCAGAAGCATTTTGTAATGACATTTCAGGTCTCTACTCAAACTTAAGACAGCCCATTAATAGCAGGCCACAGCTTGCCTGACACATTTTCCTTTACATTATACAGCTGATTGCATAAAACAGGCTCCAAATGGTACTGTGGTGACTGGCCTGTAATCCAGGCTGCCTTTGAACTCACTATATAGCCGAGGATGACCTTAAACTTCTATTACATTTTTGTTTATTGTATGTATGTATGTATGTATGTATGTATGTATGTATGTATGTGCCATGGCACTCATGTGGAGGTCAGAGGACAAACTGAGGGAGGTCCCAGGAATTGAACTCAGGCCCTCAAACATTGGCAGCAGGTACCTTTGCCTGCTAAGCCAACTCACTGGCCCAGATTTGTGTGTGTGTGTGTGTGTGTGTGCACGTGTGTTATTGTGAGGAGGGAGTTGTCAGGCAGGCCTCAAAGTGGCAATGTGGCCCAGGTTGGTCTCCAGCTCTTGATCCTCCTGCTTCTGCCTCCCTTTCAAGTACTGAGATTGTGGGGCTGCCCTACTATACCCCATTCTCTCCAATGCCTTTTGTGAAGAGGATACCAAGTCCAGGAGCGTTAGAAACTACAAACCGAGGGACAGCAAAGATTATTCTGGAGCCAGAGAAGCCACTTGGAGGACAAACCGAGGACTTGCAGATCCTTCGGAGGAGAGGTCAAAATAGATTCCTTGGCCAGCCTCCTCTTGGTATGTATGGGGGTGGAACGCCCCACAGCTCTTCTCTAGGTTACCCCAGCCCTCAAGGGCCACTGAGCTTACCTGGGAGGAAGGGGATGATCCTTTGCTTGGGATCCTTCTGGCCACCTTCGATGGGAAACTTATCCAGAAGCTGCATCTGAGGAGATGACAGACAGACATCAGAACACTGAACTGTCCCACTGTGCTCACACAGATGAGTGATTCCTGAAATCCCTCATTTCACAGCTGATTAACAAACCACATGGGGCATGAAAGGGAGGAGGCCAGTGCTCTCCATGCATCAAAGAGGGTGTCTGAACCAGCTCAGGAAGGGGAGGGGTCTGGTGGCTGCCTATGTGAGGTTGGGACAGAGACCAGCAGTCCTTCAAGGCCAGACTGGGATTTCCTGGTTCTCCTTTGGGTACAGTTGCTACTTTATTTGTTGGGTGAATCCTTCAGTCACCAGCCATCCCAAACCATCATCTCAGGCCAGGAACAGAGGAAGGCCCCACCTGGTGTTTCAGACAGACCACCCACCTTCCAGAACTGATCTACGGAAACAGACGCAGATGTTATTTTAATTGAAAAACCAAATCTATCTCACCCCCACTGCTGGGGGACCCCTTGAGTCTTTCTTCCCACCCAGAGCTCACTACTGTTTTTCCAGGGATGGACCCACTGGAACAGTTTCCAGGATTCTGGGGAACAACTGTTTTTTCTTTTGCTATTCTGGGCTGAAATTCTGTGTGAACTGGAAAAACACACGGGAGGCAAAACAGATAGGGCGAGGGTCTTTGTGTGTGGTTAATCTCCCTTCCGAGGCACCAGTGGGAAGCTCCACTGAGTGGCTACAGTCAGCATCTTTACTAGCTGTCAGCTGTGACCTTGGGTCAGGCAAGGAACCTTTCTCATTTGGGCCTCAGGTACCTCCTTGGCAGGATGGGATGTGTTACCTGGTCCCTGAAGTCCATTCATCCCTCTAATCCTTCTGATATTTACTGAGTGCCTACTACAGGTACTGTGTATTAAAGAGAAAAGTCCTGGCACTCAGGGACTTTACATTCTAGTGGAGGGAGACTAGCAGTAAATCAATACGTGGTATAACGGGAGATAAGTGCTATGAAGAAAAAAATGTGCACTCTTTAGTTTGGGGTGTTGAGGAAGGATCAATTTAGAGGCAATTCAGCGGGAGACCTTGGGAGGTAAGGAAGCAAGGCACTCTGGATAAGGAGTGTGTTCCAGAAAGGGGAACTGGAAGTGCAAAGCATGTGAAAAGGCTGGTGTGGCACGCATCAGGGCAGAGAGACAGCCCATGAGATGTGAGAGGGTAGAGCTGTGTAGAGCCAAGTGTGTCCTGATGTCCTGGCGGGCTTTATGCAGAGGAGAGACGTGATCTGATTATGCTTTGAAAAGGTGGCTCAGCTGTAGTGTAGTGAATGGGCCATAGGGTAGAAATGGCTTGGGCCAAGGTGTCAGCATAAAAGGTAATGAGAAGAGGTCCTGTGCTGATCTCTCTCTCTCTCTCTCTCTCTCTCTCTCTCTCTCTCTCTCTCTTGAAGGCACAGAGATAATCAACATCCTTAACCTTTCCTCTTAAGCTGCCTTGGATTCCTGAAAGAACAAAATTTCTCAAGACAGACCACCCTCACATGATTTTAGGATTGTCTCTTACATAACTATTACTCAATCTACATAGGCTGTTTAGAGCCCACAGAGGAAGGGAATCATGGGTGGATTCCATTCAAAACAAGACAGAGACTACATCATAATTAACTTTCACTTCCCTGAATACAGACGGATATTTAGAAAACACTGGCTCATGAGTTTTCAATGTTCTAACTTCAAGTTTCAAACGTTAAATAATTCGCTGCTACATTTAAATACATATGTTGGGCTATAACATTATGAACTTGTACTTGGAAATTATTTCTTCATATATTTCCAAATAAATACTGCAGGCTAGAACCCCTACTTTTTCCTTCCCCGTATTTGACTTTTGTACATTTCATTTTTGTATTATTATAAGTAATTCATGTTTATTGAGGAAAAACTAGAAATTACAGAAAGGTGGGGTTGGCAAAGATAAAAGAGGCCAGGTATGCTGGTATGCACTTGAAATCCCAGTGCTTGGGAGGGAGAAAGAGGATCAAGAGTTCAAAGTCAGTCTGGGCCCTAGGTCAGACTTGCTACACAACAAGATTCTGTTTCAGGAAAACAAATGACAAAAAAAAATTAAAAAATAAAAAAGGAAAAAGAATCATTCATGGGGGCTGGAGAGGTGGCTCTGTGGTTAAGAGCACTGACTGCTCTTGCAGAGGACCCAGGTTTGATTCCCAGCACCCACATGGTGTCTTCGAACTGCCCTTAACTCCAGTTCCAGGGGAATCCGAAGCCTTCTTCTGACCTCCTCGGCATTGCACGACATGGGTGCACTCACATACATGCAGGTAATACACTCATACACATAAAATAAAATAAATAAAAAAATTTTTTAAAAAGAATCATTCATGTGTCGTCTCCCCAAACCCAACATTAATATTTGCATACACATATCTTTCCCAGTCACTCTTCCATGTGTATAAATAAAATGACATCATCAACTTTTTTTTTTTTTTTTTGGTCTTTTTGAGACAGGGTCTCCCTGTAGCCCCAGCTGTCCTGGAACTCACTATGTAGACCAGGCTGGCCTTGAACTCACAGAGATCTGCCTGCCTCTGCCTCCCGAGTGCTCAGATTAAAGGTGTGTGCCACCATGCCCGGCTATCATCAACATTTTTATATCACACAAAGAATGTTTTTTTTTTTTCCTCACATAAATATCTGAGGATAAATGATGGCCCAGTATTCCTGGGTATATAGAGTAATCTGCTTATCTGAACCATCTCTCTGGAACTAGGGCGCACCTGCACACAATAGGCTATAGGATCTTGCCCAAGTAGCTGTATTGCTGCAGAACTCCAGAGAGTAAGGCTATCCTCCAGCTCTGCCACTAACATGTTCTCTGATTCCAACACTATCTTTTAGGTCTCAGAAGCTGAGATTCACACTAACAGTGCCCAGGGAATGTGGTACTAGGAGGAATGGGCAGGGGCAGAATATTCAGGCACTCATCCTTCCCTCCAAAAGCACAGATGCACACCTTCTAGATGGCAGGCTCTGTGCTATGTGCTAGAAATAAGCCAAATGGCAATGTTGGCATCAAGGCACTCCTGTGGTAGGGTGGTGGGGTTTCAGCCTTAGCCATGCATATGTGGCACCTGTGAGCAATGAGAGTGCAGGTTCTGGTTCAGCAGGCCAGGATGGGGGCCCAGAACCCCAGTTCACAGGTGCTGAGGAAGTTGCAGGGCCACTATACTCAGACATGAAGCTGAAAGGGTGTATCATCCACACAGCAGTCCCTGGCCACACATGGCACAGGCCAGGCTGAGACAAGCAGTACATGCAAAACATATGCTGGATTTCAGAGATCATAGAAAAGAGAGAGGGGAGAGGGAAGGGAAGGGAAGGAAAAGGGAGGGGTGGGGGGAAGGGGAGAGGGGAAAGGCCTCTGTGAGCACGGCATGACACAGGAGTACTTGCGTACATGCCGGCAAGACACTCATACACATAAAATAAAATAATAAACATTTATCTAAAAATTTTGTATCCTGGTGGCTGGAGAGATGGCTCAGCAGTTAAGCACTGGCTGCTCTTGCAGAGGACCTGGGTTCCGTTTCCAGCACTCACATGGCTGCTAACAACCATCCATAACTCTAGTTCCAGGGGGATTTGATGCCTTCTTCTGACCTTCACGGGCATTTTATGACACAGGTGCACTTACATACATACAGGCAAAACACTTGTACACATAAAATAAAAATGAATTAATTTTAAAAAGAATTTTGTATTTATTGTATATTGAGACTATTTTAGATCATGTTATAAATAAAAATATTTTAGAAATTAATTTCCACCCATTTCTTTGTTTATTATTTTTATTTTATGTGTATGTGTGTATTGCCTGCATGTTGTTAAATGCACCTGTGTCATGTAGTACCTGAGGAGAACAGAAGAGACTGTCGGATTCCCTGGAGTTAATTTATGGACAGTTGTTAGCTGTCATGTGGGTGCTGGGATTCAAACCCAGGTCTTCTGCAAGAATAGTCAGTGTTCTTAACCACTGAGCCATCTCTCCAGCCCCTCACCCATTTCTTTTTACATTTTAAAGCAGCTATCTGAAAAATGTTAATTGCATATGTAACTCACATTGTGTTTCTGTTGAACAGCACTAGTCCAGAGCACAGTGGCTCTCAAAAGTGTAATGGGGGCTAGGGAGATGGCTCAGTTGCTACCATGTGCTGTGGTTCCTAAGGAGGAAGCCAGGGACACTTCTGGAGAAAGCAAAGATGGCTGTCACGGCAATGACAGTCATATCCCTGTGCCTTCCTAGACAAAGCAGTCTGAATTTCCTCTGTAGGTTCATGTCCCTCCTGAAAGGTAGGGACATCTGAGAGCCTGGCGAACAGGCAGGTTTGAGTTTTCCTCCACAGGCTTCTTGTGGGGCTGGGGTACCTCACAGGGCCTCTTACCCACCTCTTCCTCACGCAGCAGATCTTCCTTATGGTGTACCTCTGGCTTAGTCTAACAGCCCGCTTCCCTGCCCAGCTAAGACCATCTGCTGAGTCCTGGGTCAATAGGTCCTCTCCAGAGCTGTGGGCACCCAGCTGGCCCATTCCTCACTGCCAGCCCTCAGGTGCCAACCTCTCACCTAATGCAGCACAGTGAGCAGAGCCTTGGAGTTGAGCCTCCCAGTCACTTATCCCTACAGCCCACTGGCCATGGGAACAGAAAGGCCAGCTAACCAGCTGCCAGTGACATTTTCTCTGCCCAAAGGTCACCTTTCAAAGAAAGCAAAAGCCCTGGCACTGACTCCAAAGCAACCCAAATAAAGGCAGCACAGCAGAGCTGAGCTGACTCTGTGTGATGCCAGCAGCACGTAGCTTACAAGCTGTACCGCCCAGGGTCTAGGTCCAAGATGGCTGGACAGTGGGCAGAGGGCCCATGTTGGATAGCCAACACTAATGTAACTCCTTCAGGGGCTAGGGGCAGGAGGTGGCCCAATGCCCTATGTGTAGGGCTAGGTTCCACAGAAAAAAGCCTGAGGCAAGGATCTGTTTC